ACGTGTGTACAGGTTTGACAGCTGGGTATAGGTGGACTTTGGGGCTCCCACACTGTTCCTATTGGGACACTAAATAGAGTCTGTGGGAGAGGCACCTCCATGACTGACATGCCTGCCCAACAGAGGACACTCGAACCCCTTAACCTTCCTGCACTCACAGAGATAAAATGTACTCTTGTTGGGGCGCTGTCCTAGGATTCTCTTTTTGAGAGCTGGAACCAGGAATTAACTCACTTAAAGAGTCTCCCTTGAAAGTTTCTTGTATAAAGAGCAGATGCAGAACGTCTAGACCAGAGACAGAAGTGGGAAGGGAGTGGAATCAAGAGCCTCCCATTGATCTCTTGGGCTCCCAAGTGTGCTAGGTTTCAGAGGTGCCACGAAGTATTGGCGAGCAGACAGCCAGATTTAAAGGCAGCAGAGTGGTATAGGCAACAGGGAGGGTGTGGTTGAGGGGACAAAAGGAAGCAGAGGGTGTGTAAGGGAGGTGAACTCAGTTATCAGAAAAGGTATTCAAGGTGCAGTAGGGTTCCCAAGTTGGAATATGGCTTCCCAAGCTAAGATGGTGTCACTACATGCTTTTCGTGACATGCTTCTCAGCCTGGAGGCAGGAGGGTGGATAAGGTTCACTCAGAACACAGAGGCAACACGAGAACTGATGGGGGTCTGAGGGCCTCTTGAGATGATGAAATGCTATCTGCCATTTAACATCAGGACCAAAAGAAGGACAGAACAAAAGGATGAGCAAGCTACTGAGTTTGAAAGGTGGGGAAGCTCTTTCATTCCTGAATCTCGGCTTCCTTTCTGGTTTGAGGACAGCTGTAAGAATCACCATGTTTCCAGGAGCAGAAGCCAGTGAGGGATGTGGCAATCAGCACCAGAGAAGGTAGCACCATGAGAGGTGAATAGGCACAGCTAGGCAGCTGTGCTTTCTCTCCCACACCCATGCTGCATCCTTAGACAGTGTCCTGGAGGCCACACCTGGTGAAGGGAGGTCAAGCAGTGTCGTCTCCTTCCTGCCTTCTTTTGTCTGGCCACTGAGATGGGTTTTCCTGCTTGCTTTTTACTCTGCCAGTAGTTCCCACTCAGAGGAATATTTTGCTTTGTGCTGGTTCTTTTCTCCCTCTCTCCCTCCCTCCCCCTCCCTCTCCCTCCCTCCCTTCCCCCTTCTCTCTCCCTCTTTCTTTCTTTCTTTCTTTCTTTCTTTCTTTCTTTCTTTCTTTCTTTCTTTCTTTCTTTCTTTCTGTGTTAAATCTGTGCTCTTGTCTGTTCAGGAAGTGGGCAAGCCACGTATTTGATTTTTCTGGTCACAAATGCCATCGTGGTAATTCAGAATCCTACATTATGGTGACGGTTGTCTCCAGAATAAAAAGGCTCCTCCTCGGAGTCTCCCCCACCCCCAGATTTCCCCTTCATACACTCAACACGGCGACTCTGAACACTGTGTCCCTCCCCCAGATGTGCCTCTGCCTTCCTGCCTGTGCGTAGGCTGTTCCACGACTACACTCCTCCTCAACCTGCTCTTTCATCTTCCTATTCTTCAAGGCTTGCCTGACTTCATGGATGCTTCTTCGGTCTCTCCCAAACCAGAATGACCTCTTCTGTCCCAACTTCAAAGTGTAAGGGAGAATATATCTCTCGGGTGGGCAGAATTCTATATGCAGTTAAACAGCAAATAAAAATAAGCAGTGTTATCCGCAGATCAATAAAGACTAAAGGAGTTCGCCACTCACCAACTCTCATGGGACGCACAGGTGTGTTCCCAGGTGCAGAGCCGAGGGACCTCTCTTTTTATGCCAGCATAACCAAGCTCTATGGTCAGGTCGAGAATGGCCATCGGTAGAATCAACAAATACTTAAAATAGGGCTCTTTATTATTTACCATAGAGAACTAGGTCATCTGAAGGGGACTGGAAGGCCCTGCTGAGAAGCATATATATATATGTAATGTGTGTGTGTATTCTCATTTACACATACATACACAAACATATGACTTGGCAAATGTTGTACAGTGTGGCTAAGCATACACTGTGCTCAGTAGGTGCTTGGGGAAGCCATGTGGTCAACATGGCCTAGAATTTTATCTCCTCACCCTCTGTCTCCATCCTTCCCTCTTTCTGAGCAATAGGATTTTATGGCCTATGGCCCTTTCCCTGGTTTGGCATCTCTGTTCCTGGCAGAGGTGCTCCGTTTCTGCAGGCAGGGCCAACTTGAACATCTATACATCTTCAATCAATCGCTCAAAGTCCACCCTCTGAAGTAGAGTCTTTGCTGTGGAACAATCCTTTTTTTTTTTTTTTTTTTTTTTTTGGTTTTTCGAGACAGGGTTTCTCTGTGGCTTTGGAGCCTGTCCTGGAACTAGCTCTGTAGACCAGGCTGGTCTCGAACTCCCAGAGATCCGCCTGCCTCTCTGGGATTAAAGGCGTGTGCCACCATCGCCCGGCTGAACAATCCTTTTCTACACTATGACTATGTATTACTTTGATTTGCTAATAAAATGCCTACTGGCCAATAGCTGGGTAGGATGAGATTGAGACCAGAGCCAGACTAGAATTCTGGAAGACGAAGAGCAGAGTCAGAGAGCTGCTGGCAAAGGCAGAGAAGCAAGATGAGACTGCCTTACTGAGAAAAGTACCAAGTCACATGACTAAACGTAGACAAAAATTATGGATGGGTAGTTTAAGTGTGAGAGTTAGTTAGTAACAAGCCTGAGCTATCAGCCAAGTGTGGCTCAGGACTAGAGGAGTTGGTAAATGGAGGCACCCAAGCAGGAGTAACAGTCCTGGGTGGGGACACATGGACAAGGACATGGAAGGAGATAAGTAAGACACATTTAGTTAGAAACCTGGGACAGGATTGGTCTCTGCTCTCCTCTTACTGAGATTCAGTCTGGCTTCTGCCAAGATGACCCAGGAAGAGGCTGAAGTGTAAATGTAGCTAGGAACCATTGTGGCTGCATGAGAAAGCTGTGGTCTCTCCTGTCTTGAGGCAGGAAGTAGTATCTACTGAAAGGAGTGTCACCTTTAAAATGGTGCTGTCCTTCAATGGGCATTGCTTGGTCTCTAGTTAAGGCCGCAGTTTAGCACAATGCCTGGGACAGAGAGGTGGGGTATGTTCACAGTCATCATATTATCTCCTGGTGGGTTGTTTTGTTTTTGGTGTTTGTTGTTTTTTCAAGACAGGGTTTTTCTGTGTAGTCTTGGCTGTCCCAGAATGCACTCTGTAGACCACGCTGGCCTCGAACTTACAGGGATCCTCCTGCCTCTGCCTCCCAAGTCCTGGGATTAAAGTTGTGCATTACCACTGACCAGCTTCCTGGTGAATTTTAAACTAGCTGCCTCCCACCACTGTGGTAGGTTAGCAAGGTTACACGCATGTGCCTGATGGGGACTTGCCAAAGTATATAGGCAATGCATCAAATAGGGACGAATTTTCTTTTGTTTGGAGACAGCTTGAGTCCTTCCTGTAGTCATCCTACCCTCAGATTCTTAGATCCCAAAGCAAGCCCATTTTATTTTATTCCTTTGATACTTTATTTTTCTTACATACTTTTTTGGTGTGTGTGTACATGTATGTACTCATGGTGCCTGCCATAGCACACATGTGGAGGTCAGAGGACAACCCTGTGTGGTTCTCTTTTTCTACCTGTGTTTTAGTTCCGTGAAGCGAACTCCCAAGGCTTATGGCGAGTCTTGGGTCTTGGATTTATGCTTGCCTTATTTTCCAACAACAAGGTCTGAAGTGAAGTGGAAAATCCACCATAAAGAGAAAAGAATAGGGACACATTGGAGGGAGGCTGCAGCTTGAGTGCCCAGAATTAAGTATGGGGAAGAGGAAGAAAAGGGGAAAGGGAAATATTTTGGGTCTTCCAAAGTATAATTTGCAATTCTACCTTGTAGGGTTTTTTTTTTGTTATTGTTGTTTAAGTTTGGGGGTTTGAGGCAGGATCCCATGTATCCCAGGCTGGTTTTAAGCTGACATAGCTTAGTTCAACCCTAAATTCCTGTGCCCGTTTGTCTAGTAATGGATCCAAGGCCTCAAGGTCAGTCTACCAACTGACCACACCCTCAGTCCAGAAAGTTGTACTTTTCTTGTTAATTTTTAATGGATCAAGCCTGGCTCGGGGTCATCGCCACATCCTTGGTCCCATGGTGCTTCCTAATTATGCTTCTTCAGACAGACAGGGGCCAGCAGGATGTGTTTCAAACGGGATAGCCTTCAAAGTAGCAAGTCACTGAAGCCACCTAGAGAAAAACAAAATTGGACCCATGGAGATGAGGTCACAACCTTGAGCCGAATTCATCTGGAGAAAAGGCATTTTTAGAAATCCATGTAGAGTGATTAAAAGTAAAGGCAAATATGTATTTGCTCTCTGCGTCAGCCAAGGGCAGATGGGTAGTGTGGGCTACTGAACAACTGGGAGCTTCAGTCTTGCTCACGGAGCCTGAGCAACGGTTAGCCTTCTGTAGTCCAGGTGTGGCAGCCCTGTGTCCCCTTGAGGAAAGACCACTGAGAGGGAAGCAGTGTCCATGAGTAAGAATTAGCTGTTTATTCCTCATGCTAAAACCTAAAGAGAAAGAAGGCTCTAGCATGTTCCACTCTCAGAAGTTCCGGGTAGCAGTAGGTATGGTTATATGGTACGGCTATAATATTGGCGCTGCTGGTATACAGTGGTGCTCAGTAAATAATCACCCAATTGTGTTCTCCAATAAAATAGCTCATGCTTATATACAAGTCTTGGGCCTGGAGTAAAACTACCCCAGAGTCCTGCCATTTACCGCGGGAGGTGTGGCCTTATAGCTATTCCCAGTGCACGCAGTGTATAGAGTCTCATAAACGGGTGGTAAAGGATGGGATGGATGTTTCCTAAGTTATCTCCAGGCCAGGGAGTTAGGCGCTTCCATCATTTATGAAGTGGCATAGTCTAGTCTACTGTGTAGGGAATGGTTTAGCAGCCCCTGTTCTGAAGACTTGACACTTCTCATGTGCTGTCCTTTCTTTAGCAGGTGTCTTCTGCGGAGGTGCGCATTGGGCCCATGAGACTGACGCAGGACCCTATCCAGGTATACTTCTATCCCTCAGGAGGGGCTTTTCTTTTGGGGTGCATGGCTATATGAAGAATGTTTAGTAGTTTTCTGGGTTAACAACAGATAGCCATCTTTGCCCTTCCCCAATACATATGTGTGTGTGTGTATATATATACATATATATATGTAATATTTGTGTGTGTTTGTCTTATCAGTATCATGCTCCAGAAATCAGATTGGTTTTTGAGGACTTAAATATCACCCTACTTTGCCCAGTGGATTGTGGGGGAGAACAACCCACCATCCTGCTGCCCACAGAAAGGGAGGAGGTACCATGTGTTGAAGGGTATGACTTTTCTGAGAGCCACAGCTGGCTGCGATTCTGGCTTTGCCTCAGCACTATGGGTTTGTGCACATTGTTTCCTTCCTCCATCTGGCATCCCCGCGGACATGGGGAAGATGAGATTTCCCTTCTCACAGAGGACTCTAAATGCAGCAAAACTGCCTTTCATGCCCCTGTAGAAGACTGTCTGCCAGTGGAAGGTGTTCAAGACTGGCATCTGGGGCTGTTGTTTGGGAGGTAAAATGATGTGGGGACAGTATGCACGTTGGTAATTGTTTTGGTCTATCCATATCTTTATTGATGAATAAAGATGACTGGGCCACTCTCTTCTGTAGTTCACTAATAAAATGGTAGAGGGATGGTAAGAGTCTGAGGAACAGGGAGTTTGCTGTGAGATTGTTTCTCATAAGAGTGTCAGAATCTGCACCCTTATAATCTCACCAACAAGAACAAGGACAGTAATAGACATGCCAAAGTGGTCTAGAGAAAGCCCACATGGCCTCAGCACTACACAAGAACTCTAGGCAACCAAGGGCTGCTGAGAGCGGGAGAAATAGTCTTTCCTGAGGAAGAGCACACAAAATGGCGCACGAAATGGTTATCCAATACCAGATGGTCAGCACTGAAAACATACATACAAGTAACTGTTAGCAAGGGGACAGCGAAGCCATCAAACTGGATTACTCCATGAGTGGAAAGGCAGGTTTATTGGGGGAATTTTAATTTAAACTGTGGTGGCTTTCTCAGGGACAGAGAAGATAGCAAACCATGGGGAAAGCCTCACCTGTTGTGAAGGGGTCTGTCTGCAGCAGGAGGAAAGCCAGGAAGCAAGAACTGGAAGTTGGAGTAGTTGGAGGTAGAGGCCTGTGAGCCCAAAGAGCCTGGGAGCTGGCGTGGGGACTTTGATGTGTGTTGTAGGTGCGTGTTAATAGAGGAGTAGCCAGCTCTAGGCTGTAGTGTCAGATCAGGGGAGTATGGCTCTCTCTGACAAACAGAGACCCACTTCCCAAGTTTCTGAGCAATGCTGATTATATAGACTTTTGTTTATCCACTAGCAATCTTTCTGTTTACCCAGCCAGAGTCCAGCCTGAGCTGAGTCCAGGCTGTCATTTACAGCATTGCCAATGTCGCTGTGGTTTGAGGGGCTGGGGGCCCACTTTGGACCTAACAGTTCTACGTAACAATAATTAGTGACAAAAGATGCCATGAATTGAAAGAAGGCAAGGAGGGCTATATGGAAGGGTTTGGAGGGAGGAAAGGGAAGGGGGAAAGGATGTGATTATATATAATTCTAAAACTAATAAGAAGTAATAAAAACTAAATAAGGAAAAGAAAAAACAAACCATGTCTAGGCTTCTCTTCTTGATTAGGAGTTAGGGACTAAGCTCTGTAGAAAATAGCTACTTATCCAATTGATATTAGTAATTCTTAAAAATAATAAATAAAAGTTTGTGTCCTCCGTGCTTTAAGCAAGAAGCCTATGAGACAGTAAGCGCTGAGACAGAAGAACTGGGAGCCAGAGCCAGAAAGGCCACCCACAAACAGGACCGGCCAGCTCTAGCGCTGACCATTTGGTAGCTGTTACTCTCTCAGCCCTCTCCCTTCCTGCCCTTCTTCATCCGTTTACATCACCCCTATGAGGTAGCCCATGGGTGCTGAGCAAGTGTGCCTCTTCCTCATCAGCTGTAGCTTGCCAGCTCCTGGACACTGCCCCTGGAAGACGCAGCAGGCACGCCACCCAGGCTACAGATGAGAAGGAACTGAACTAAAGACACGTGCTGCCTGAGTTTTGAGCAAAGGAAAAATAATGTTTTATAGTTATTTGAAAGGAATAACAGATTTAGGGAAAAGAAAACAACAAAAGGAAGAGGCTTAGCTTGGGAAATTTTGATGAAAACAAATTTAGGAGCAGAGAGAGGGAGGAAAAAAACACAAGCCAGCTCTTTGCATAGAATACAAGCAAATGGAAAATTCTAGTAATCGGTCTTAAGGGGACGCAGTTTGAACTCCAGTTCTGAATCAAAGCAGTGATGAATAAGGGGGCTGATAGTGTGGGCTCAGTCTCAAAGCCATTTCCACAGTACTTCCTGGGGGACTAATTCAGGCTCACATCAATCCCGTTCGCCTCCACTCTACCCTGTGCTGGGTTGGCAATGCAGGCTCATGATAAGAATGTAATTTGCCAAACCATAAACTATTATACTTGCTTCCATCAAATATTAGCATTACGCCCTATTTGTTTCAGAGAGCCTCCCCACCCCAGCAGCAGCACTGCAGATACTGTTTAAGCCTGTATTTAGCTCTTTACGCCCGTCTTTCCCTTGGAACACCGTAACTCATATTTACATATTTTCCCTCCATACTTATGTGTCTATTTCTAAAAGTCACCCTTTCCTCAAGTGTCTTTAAGGCTGACTTGAGAAGTATATTGTAAGCGTGCTTCTGAAATTCATTCTTATCATTTGGCGTCTCTAGATGTCATACCGGGGGATTTCAGGGACTCCCTGGCCTGACCTGAAGTCCCGCAGGTTTGTTCTGCCTTCTTTGCAGTATTCTGTGGCCTCACCCTTTCCCTTGAGCTGCGCAGTCCATTTTGAATTAGCTTTGTGACATGAGACAGGAAGTGAGTTCCGTTCTTTCCGATGGGCTGCCCAGTTGCCCCAGCAGTGCTAGTTCAAATTACTCTCGCTGCTGCGTTGTCTTGGCACTTTTTAAGAAAATAATGGACAACCAGGGGCTGAGAGCTGGCTGATGGGTTAACACACACTGGGCTTGCCGTGGACCCGAGTTCAGTTCCCAGCACCCATGCTGGGCAGCCCACCAATCCTGGAGCTCCAGTTGCAGGACCTTCCAATGCCTCTGGCCCCCGTGGGTTCTGTACGCCTGTGCACATACCCACACTCAGACACACACTTAAAAACCTTTTTTGTTAAAAAGTCAACTATAAATTAATTTATACATCTGTCTTTTGGCAAGAGTTTGGAAATTGCAAGGTGAGTCACAGTCACCAACGTGATTCTTAGTTTTTAAGATGGTCATGGGCAATGAGATGACAGTGACCTTGCTGAACTCATCTGTGAGCTCATACAATAATACTTTTAAAACATATTCATTTATTACCAGAGTGCCATGGCGTGTGGAGGCCAGAGGGCAGCTTCAACCAGTCCTTTCTTACTGTGGGTTCCAGGGACCAAACACCACCCTTATCTGCTGAGCCATCTTGTTAACCCCCATACAGTCTTTCTTTTTTATGGAGCCCTTGGGATGTTTTTCATGTGTAAAATTATGTGATCATTCTTCCTTTCCGAATCTGAATTCTAAAAAAATTCGCCTAACAAATTTAAGAACAAAATGTGTTTAGTGTTTCCGTTTTGTTTCGATTTGTCCTCTCTACCCCCAAAATGGAGCTGTAACTCAGCAACAGAGCCTAGTAGAGCCTGTGCAGGGCCCTGGGTTTGCTCGCCAGCACTGAGAAAAGCAGCTGTTTTTTTTTTAATTTAATTTTATTTATTAATTTATTAATTATTTATTAAAGATTTCTGCCTCCTCCCCGCCACCGCCTCCCATTTCCCTCCCCCTCCCCCGGTCAAGTCCCCCTCCCTCGTCAGCCCAAAGAGCAATCAGGGTTCCCTGCCCTGTGGGAAGTCCAAGGACCACCCTCCTCCATCCAGGTCTAGTGAGGTGAGCATCCAAACTGCCTAGGCTCCCACAAAGCCAATAGGTGCAGTAGGATCAAAAACCCATTGCCATTGTTCTTGAGTTCTCGGTAGTCCTCATTGTCCGCTATGCCTGGGTCTGAAAAAGCAGCTGTTTTTTTTTTAAAGGTACTCCCACATACTTTACCAAAGTTGCATCATTTTATGTACTAAAGGGGGCGAGAGCCTGTTATTCCCAGGGCAGTGCTGGATTTTGTCTTTAATTCAGTTTCAGCTTCCCTGTGGATGCGGTACATAGACAGCAGCTGAGAGTTTTCCCATGATCAATAAAAAGCTTTTTCATTTGATTTTTGGCTACTCCAATCATTTCTATTTGGCTAAATCTTCTGTCCATTTTTTTAAATTGAGTTAATATTTCAAAGATGTTGAATTGAAGAAATTTTGTTGTGTGTGTGGTATAAGCATGTGTGCACGTGTGTGGGTGGACATACTTGTGAATGTGGAGGCCACTGGTGGATGTCATGTGCCCTTCTCTGTCACTCCCTGTCTTTCGTTTTAAGACATAGCTCATCAATTTGCCTGGACTGAGCAGGAGGATGCGCTCCTCTTTGCTGCCTAGCCCTGTGGCTGCAGATCCCGGCTGAGACCGGTTTTTACATACGTGCTAGGAGTGTAAACTCAAGTCCTCACAGTTTACAACAAGCTCCTTAGCCAGTGAGTGACCTCCCCAGAGAAATTCTTTATATATACTGGTTACAAATTCTTCAACAGATTTTTTTAAAATATCTTTCTCCTAGGCTGTGGCTCTTTCCTTCATTTTCATAACTCTGGCTTTTGGTGAGGCAATGTTTCATTCTGATAAGAACTTACGTTACATGATACATGCATACGTGCGTCACATCTGCTAAGAGGTCACATGCATATGTGCATCACACCTGCTAAGAGGTCACATGCATACGTGTGTCACACCTGCTAGGAGGTCACATGCATATGTATGTCACACCTGCTAAGAGGTCACATGCATACGTGTGTCACAC